AAGGGTGATTAGGAGGAAGAGGAGATAGTAATAAACGTTCCGTAATAGATTCGACAAGAATAGGTACTTCCTTGGTTGAAGTAACAATAACTTGATCAGTATCGGTGATTTCAGTAGAGATAAATTCGATTGTAGAGGAAGAATCTTCCTGGAATAGCTCTTGAGATGATTCTTCAGATAACTCTTGAGATGATTCTTCAGATAACTCTTGAGATGATTCTTCAGATAACTCTTGAGATAGAGATAATTCTTCAGATAACTCTTGAGAAGAAGAAGTATGCACACTATGTTCGGACATGATCAAAATATTGAATATTGGATATTTAATTAACTGATGTAATAATGATAAAATTCAGATGGCAAAATTGAATGACGAATTCAAACAAATTTGTTTTGAAACAAAAAAAAAAATTCAAAAAGACTAATGATTAATGATGACAAATTCGAGTATATATATATATATGGATATAGATATATACACATAAACGGAATATATACATGTATATAAAATATATATACATACATTAATAAATTGCCAAATAGGAAAAATTGCGGCCGAGAAAGAAAGTACAAAAAAGAATACGCAAATGGCCAAAAAAAGAAGCAATAAAGCCAAATGATAGCCGATACAGTTTCTTTTAAGGTTTAGAGCACATATGAAATGTGGAGGTAACTTTACCTGTTTGAAAGAAAACTATAAATGCAGACCCGTCTAAACTTAAAATTACCGTATTAGGGATCAAGTTGGACGAGAATTTTCATAAGACAATGTAAGATATGCTTCTTCTATGAGTCTTTATATTATGTACGTATAATAGAGTTTTTTTTTTTTTTTTTTCTAGAGTTTGATATATAATAGAAAGATCTTAATAAACTTGATATTTTTTAAAAGTGGTTGATTCGCAACTTAATAAGTATTAATCAAAAGTATAAATCAGAAAGTAAATATTAAGGAAATATAATTTTTTTTTAAAAAGATGAAAAAATAAAAAAAAATGAAAAGCGGCAGATAATAATAATAATAAAAAAAAAAAGAAAAACCAAGGAAGTACCTATTCTTGTCGAATCTATTACGGAACGTTTATTACTATCTCCTCTTCCTCCTAATCACCCTT